CCTGGTCATTTTGCTAAATCGTGGATGGAGAAGGGGGTATACCTCATCAGCCACATCTGGGATGAGGGGAGGCAGGACTGGCTACAACCAACGGAGGTGAGAAAGAAACTTTCGAGACTGCACAAGGTGGAGGAGCACTACCAGTCTTTATTAAATGCAGTCCCTTCTCAGTGGAGGAACCTGCTGAAAGAGGAGTCTGAGTACACAGTAGGCACTTGGTTAGAACATCCAGAGAACAATAACAGAGTAGTGAGGGTTCTGGGTCCGGATTTGAGCCAGGGGATGAGAGTGGAACAGTGGAGAGGGGAAGGGCCTAGGACAGAGATGACCCCACTCAAATTTGAACTAGAGACAACAGTGACCACCACAAGCACTCTTCCGGAAGTAAGAGTCTGGGAGGGACGGCATGGTGAGAGAAAATTGATGACGCTATTGAAGGGAAGTCCGTCGGACTATTTAGTCGAACCCCTACTCTATGGATGGAAAGAAGGAGCGGATAAGAAAACCCCCCTATGTTGGTACACTACTAAAGTAGGGGTAGCTCAGCGACGTCAGAAGAGAGTGAGACCTCGGTATATAGCTGAGCGTAGGTTTCAAAAGATCCATGGGACGAATAAGCCCCCAACTGACTACCAGGAACTGTGGAAACGATTGAGAAAATTCTCATCTCAGAGACAGGCAAGCCTAATGTGGACTCAGTCGATGGGCCTGACCCCGTCTGCCCTATGGTTACAGTCCAGGGGGATGGAGTTGAGTCTAACATGTTCTAGGTGTAAATGGGGATGGGAGTCAACGGAACATGTGTGGTTATTATGCCCGTTAGCAGACGAAATATGGCTCTGGTGGAAAACCAGCTGGGACGCTAGGGCGGGTCAGAGTTGGGAGTGGGATGATGACTGGATTCTGCATGCAAAGCCTCCAGGTAAAGGAAAATGGAATGAGCAGTGGGGCTATGCAGCGTTGGTCTGTAGGGGGATAGTAATGGAGACTATCTGGAAAGCAAGAAATGCTTCGGTTTTTAAGGAAGAACAGATTTCAATTCAACAGCAGATGGGGATGATCAAGCAATTGTTGAGACAAACCATTCTGGCGGATTGGAAGAGAGCCAGACTAAGAGCAGGGGGAGGTATTTCGTGGTTCAGGAAAGTCTGGGGAGCAAAAAATGCTTTTGTGGCATTGACAGAGGAAGCCAAGCTGTTATTTTCAGATTGGCTTACAGAAGGTTTGCCTGGCCTCCTAGAGAAATGATTACTGTAGCAGATGAAACACGCTAGGCTCTTATAGCTAGCCCTTTTACTCTGAGCTTCAAGGTTATCTTTTTTTGGAAAGCACGTCAGAAAGGGACGCTGGACCCGGTTTCCAGCAGCTAGGTTCTTTACTGTCGTTTCGAGCATGGCTCGTAAGCGAAACTGGCTGAGGCTGCCAGGATAACTCCGGGTCGAATTGTGAGGTCCCCAGCCTCTTTACTTATGTTGTTTGTAATAAATGTCTCATGCTTTCCAAAAAAAAAAAAAAAAAAAAAAAAAAGAAATTTCGTTACAAATGTCCTTCGGGACAATTGGAACGATACAGAGAAAGAAGATTACACGCATAATTCAAGAAATGGTCCAGATAAAAAAAAACAAAAAAACAAAAAATTAAGAAAAATTCATTACAAAGAACAGGAATCCAATCGGGGCCGTGGTTCCCACAATTCAACCCGGTGGGGAACCGATGCTGGAAACCGGGGGCGTGGTCCCACTAGCAAAGAGGATAGGATCGAATGCCTGAATCTGGACGAGTTTATGGAGATGTGCAGGAAATGGAGATTGAACTGCTTTTCTGCATCTGTGCTTAAAACACATCCAGATTCAGGAGCTTCCTGAATCAGGAGCTTCCTGAATCTGGACGAGTTTATGGAGATGTGCAGGAAATCGAGATTGAACTGCTTTTCTGCATCTGTGCTGAATGCTGAATCTGGACGAGTTTATGGAGACGTGCAGGAAATAGAGAGTGAACAACTGCTTTTCTGCATCTGTGCTTAAAACACATCCAGATTCAGGTGCTCGATCCTATCCTTTTTGCTAGTGGGACCTCGGCCCCGGTCCAGCTTCCCTTATTCGCTCTGTTAGCTCTGTTAGCTCTGTTAGCTCTGTTAGCTCTGTTAGCTCTGTGCTTTTAGTACCTTGTATTCATAAGCACGTTGATTAACGTGGGTGTATCTGTTGTAGTTTCCCCCTCTAAGAAAGTAAGTAAGGGCATACTCACACCGGGACCAAAAGTCTCAAAACCTTTTTTTTTCTTTTTCTTTTTTGGGAAAGGGCAGAGAATCCATTATCAAAGCACAAGACTTCAAGTTTGAGGCCCCGAATCCTCAACAAACAACCCCGTGTGAACAGGACACTACTGTAGGCTCATTGCCCAGCTTCGGTTTACCACTGCAGTCAGTATGCAGCTTAGTCAAAGCTAGCTGTACTGTTACTTATCAATCGAGCCCTCTGCTCTTCGTCTACGTCTAAGACCATGATCAAGAATCCAGGAAAAGGGAGAGGAGAGGGTAAGTAAGAAACTTATCACTCTTCGCTGATGGACAGGTCTAATGCGGCCTGAAGTTCCTGATACACACAAACTGACACTCCATCCTCCAACTGCCAATAAAACTAACACCTTGACAGAAACCACAAAGATGAGAGCCCTTTATAAAAGGGGGGGGGGGAAGGGGGGGGGGGGGGGGGGGGGGGGGGGGGGGGGGGGGGGGGGGGGGGAATGGGGGACAAAGGGAAAGAGG